CTTATTAAAACTTGATTTTGTAAATTCAATTAAACATAACAAATTAACTCCAAATTTAATAAAACTTTGAAAAACATTTATAAACATGAAAACAAACATGTTAAAGAAGGAATTTATGAAATATTAGTTCATATTTGTGAAAACTTACTATTTTGCAAAACTTGTAAATACATGTGTATATAAACTTCTTGATTTTTGTCTTTTGAGTTAAACAATGTTTTGAAACCTCATAAAATGATTTTACATACTTAATAAAAAGATATATATAATAATTGTTAAGCCTAAAAACTAACAACTCAATATTTTTTCAAAATCACTCAAAAACAAGAATTGTGTGCATGTGTGATATTGAGCTTAAAGTATTAACACACAAGTATAAACACCTAAACTAAAATATACCCAATATCTAAATAAGCTCTTATTGGTAAACTTTATGGATGAAGCTTAATCTTGAATATGACTTGATTTGCAAATGGCTTCATACCAATATTCCGCCAACCTCCATTTGATATGATCTTTTAGGCTCAATCCATCCAACCTCCTATATCGTTGTTTGTCTAGAATACCTAATAAGAAAACACAAATATTAGATAAATAATATTAGGGATTGTTTGTAAAACATCATCAAAACAAAAAGGCCAACATATATAACATGTTATTATTACCAATATATATATATAATCATAATATATTATAAAAAATAAAATATCATAATATTTATGTAATAAATATTACAAATATAAAAATTATATAAATAATATTATAATAAATTATAAAAATCAAATATTATAATACTTATATAATAAGTACTACATATATAATACTTCTTAGGGTACTTCCTAATATTTCCTTATGCAAACGGTACAATGCATGAAACTTTGTGTTATAATGTTGATGTATCCATAATATCTTTACAAATTCTAGTATAAAGAATCGATGTATACAAATAAAAAATTCTAGGAAATAACCAAACAATTAAACTCTATGAAACCATATATGAATTAGATTAGATTAAGTATAGAAGTTATCAAAATTTAAGAGGATAAAAGAGGCGATCAAAAGTTTGTCGTCCCAATTTTCCTTTATAAGTAATATAGATAATGTAGAATGTCGCTTATTAGAAAAGCTATGATGTTGGTGTTATTTAAAATTTTCAATGTTTTAACGAGTCCATGCCGATGAACTTATATGCTTCATTAAGTTCTTATTAATTCAACAAATGAACACATATGATGCACAACGTTTTATTAAAAGAAATAATAATTGTATTTGTATAAATAATTTGGTATTTCTTTACATATAAGAAATTTAGTGTTTTTTTTGCTACAAAATCATTTCCTTAATCGACTATCTAAGTTCTAGCGAGGTGACAAAAGGAAAATAAGCTACTGTTTAGTAGATACCAATGAAATCAAAGTCATTTCTATTAAATAACACTCCACTAGTACCGTGTATATCCCACAGAACAAATAACCTACATCAAATCAATAATAATTTTTCGACTGTCATAGCAGTAATAGCATCTGTAAGCAGAGCAGCAGCCTCTAGCACCGTATTTTGGCACCATAAAACCCACAAAGAACGCTGCAAAACCCATAAAGAACGCCGTCGTCTTCAGCCATAAATCTTATAGAGTCGAGCATTGAAGGCGCACTAGTGCGTGATAGCCTAAACAATCCTGCAACAGTAGAGGCTAAGGTGAATTTTGAAATTATCCTAGGGGGGGGGGGGGGAAGGGGGGGGGGTGAATAGGGTATTTGCTAATCTAATCCGATTTCGATGCCAAATTAAAATTTATTAACTAATATCCTAGTAAAGTGATATACAATGAGATATGTGTAAGGATATACAATAAAACAATAGGCGATATAAACATGCAACAATGGCGATATAGCAATATGATGAACAATGAGTACAAAAGAGATACGCTAAGGCAATCGTCAACACAAAGAAATGATCACGGAGTTCGGTCGACCCATGACCTACGTCTCCGCTCCTCACCCTCGAGGAGAATCTCCACTATCACAAATAATTACTACACAATCGGTTTTTCAAGTTCACCGAAAACTTTTACAACTCTCACAAATGTAATCACACAACACACTTCTCTAAGTATTGGCCTAGCCCGTGTTAACTTCCTCAAGTGCTCGGAATTACAACCTCTCCAACACCACTGCTCTTAGAATTGACCCCGTTCACTAACCACTTCTCTAAGTGTCCTTGTGTATTACAATGTGTTCTCTCAACAATTAGGCTCAAATAAAAGTTTTGTTGTCTACAATGGATGAGAACGAATTGTAAGCTCACTCTCAAAGATATAACCCCACAACCCAAATGTATATAATATGTGAAAATACAAAAAGCTCAAGGGTTGTGTGTGTAATCAATGGGTAAAAAATGAAATCAAACTCAAAATTAATCTAGCAAATACAAATAGAATAATTGAAATGTAAACAAGCTAGATAATTGAGTTTAGAAACACTTCTCTAAGAACAAGTGAGGGAGATTAAAGATTGAATGCTCAAATCGAAATTGATCTCCTCCTCTTGTAAAAACCTCTTCACATAAACAAACTTGAAAACCACACTTAAACACCCTTAAAACAATTGTAAACTTGATTTAAAATTTTCTTAGATAGTTCAGAAGTTTGAAGGCAATGGGTATATATAGGATCACAAAATAAAGCCCAAAAATCAAGAAAATCCAAGCAAAAAGATAAAAAACCAGAAAAATCAAAAAAACTAGAAAACTAATTGTTACAGTACCATCAGTTGACTGATGACACTGTTCAGTCGACTGATGAGCTGACCGTTGGACGACGTTATCCTTCATCGGTTGACTGATGACCTGCTTCGGTCGACTGATGGTTCATCAGTCGACTGATGGTTCATCAGTCGACTGAGCAGAAACTTCTTTGTTTTTTTAGCGTGTTTTTTTGTTTGACTGATGATCCTCATCAGTCGACTGATAACGTGCATAGGGAATTTTATGAACAGTAAAATTAAACTTTGAACCCCTTTAAAAAATAACAAATAAATTCCAAAAAATATAAAATTTGGGAAAATGTTTATAAACATAAAAATGAACATGTTACAAAAGAAAATTTTAAAATATCATTTTCCGTTTGTGAAAACTCATCATTTTGCAAAAAAAACTTAAAATACATGTTCGTTTAAAAACTTGATTTTGGCAAAACTCATCATTTTGACTTAAACTAAGTTTTGAAAACTTTTAAATGGATTTATAGACTTAGGAAAAGATGTGAACTAGGATTATTAAGTCCATAAACCAAGAATACATTATTTTATCAAAAAATACATATATTTTGATAAAAATGAGAAATATGTGCGTGTATAAAATTGAGCTTGAAGTATCAACACAATATATAAATCCTAAAGTAATATACCCAAGTTGAATGAAGCTTGCTCTTGAATATTTGGCTTGAATTGTGTTGGTTTCATTACAGATATTGAACTTGAGTCTTTCAACCTGGATACACAAGCTACTAGAAAACTACATCGTTATAAATTGTTTGTTAATCATCAAAACTAGATTAGAGAGTATGCTCATAAACATGAGTCCTAACACAATTCACTGGTGACAATGAGGAAGATGATATCGCGAAAGCATGATTGGCGTTGCATCATCATCTTTTTAGCAGTACACAAAGCATGCGCTATCTTTGATGTTTGTCAATATGCAGGGCTAGGAAAACTTGGCTTTGTTGAAGGAAGGTCGCGCACGAGCTATAGAGAGGCCCAAATGCCAACTTTTGCGAGAAAAAAGAAGCGGTTTGGAGATTCACATTTAAAAGTAGAGAGATTTTTAAGATGGAGAGTAAGACATGAGGTAAGACATTTTATGGATTAATGTGTTTGACAGTTGTAAGAGACGAATGGGCTATATTAATGATGAAGACGCTAAATGTAGTTCTCAAAAGGTCTCTTTTATGGTTAATGCTATATATGAATATATATAGGCATGGGACTCAAAAAGGCACATGTTGTTGCTTCCTGTTATATAAAGACATGTGCTAAATTAATATTAATTAATGCTAAATTAAATGTTATATAAAGACATATGCCATAAGCTTCTAAAACTTTTGATGGATGTCACTGAGTGTCATTATTAAGGATAATATTCTATTATATTGAATATATTTTAATATTTCAATAGTGATAATATATTATAGTTTTACAGTAATATATGATAATGTTATCTTAATATGTTACATATCTTTCAGATAAATTTAATACCTATAGTATTATACCTACATAACATTTATGTCTATTTTCTATAGTGTTATGCTGCGTATTATATTTTATCTATGCATATACATCTAGTATGAGACTAGATTAGTGTTGGATTGGATTATTAGATTTTACTCTAGTAAAAAAATATTCATAAATATTAATTATTAAAATTAATTAAAAATTAAAAATAATAGTTAAATTTTAATGAAAATAATGAAAGTTTTAAAACTTATATTTAGTGACATATGAGGGCCTTTTGGTGATTATAAATAAAACTCGGAGGATATTTTGAGAAAAAATATTTTAAAATAGTATTAGATTCGTTAGTTATTTATAGATAATTATTAGTATTAATTAAGAAATATCAAAAATTAAGAGGGAAAAAGGGTTATTTAAAAGTTTTGACCCCAATCCTCTTTTATATGCAGCATAGATATAGATTTGGGTTTAGAAATGATTTTAAAAGTGAATGAGTTTAAAAAATATTAGATAAAACTTTTGACTTACAAATAAAACCCTAAATATTTGTCCAAGTCTGAGTAATGCCGTCTCCTTCTTATGTAGGGTTTATCTATATTAGTCTCTTAAATCGTTGAAATTACTTGAAGGACAACTTGTAACTTCAATTGTCTGAGGGACTAATTTGCAACACTTTATAAGGTTTTGGGACCTAACAGCAATTTTAATGATTTGAGGGGCTATGCAAAAGCATGAAAGATTTCACTTTCAGGGAGTAGTGACCAGACTATTGAAGTTCCACCCCTGAGAAACTGATCCCTCGACGCTCTCCCCCATTTTCCCCAAAAACTTTCCCGCCCCTCTCCTTTTTCCCTCAAAACCCTAGATCCAACAGAACCAAAATAACCCCCAAATCTCATCCCCAAATCTCATCCCCAAATTCCTAGATTCCACCCCAAATCTCTAATTCTAACCCACCGTCACCGAACCCTAACCCAATTCCACCAGAACCCTAACCCTCACTCTCTCCGGCGATGCCATCCCTCGTTTCACCGGGAAAAATCCACCGCCTCGAGCTCGAGAACTTCAAATCCTACAAGGGATTCCAAACCATCGGCCCCTTCTACGATTTCACCGCCATCATCGGCCCTAATGGCGCTGGCAAGTCAAACCTCATGGACGCCATCAGCTTCGTTCTCGGCGTTCGGTCAACGCACCTCCGAGGGGCCCAGCTCAAGGACTTGATCTACGCGTTCGATGATCGAGAGAAGGAGCAGAAGGGGAGGAGGGCTTTCGTTAAGCTCGTGTATCAGATGACGAATGGGAACGAGATTCAGTTTACGAGGACCATCACGGGTGGCGGAGGCAGCGAGTATAGGGTTGATGGGAGAGTTGTGACTTGGGATGAGTATAATGGGAAGTTGAAATCTATTGGGATTCTAGTAAAGGCGCGGAATTTCCTTGTTTTTCAGGTGATTTTCTGAATTCTTTGTAGGTTGCTTGAAGGTGTTGTTCCCAATGCCTTAGCCCTATATGAGTTTGTGATTAACCCAACATAAATGAGTACCTTTATATTCAAGCTTTGAGATGGACTTCTGCATGAAATAGAGGGGATCCTAACGGATTGAAAGCAAGGGTTGAGACTTGAGAGTAGACAGAACAGTTGGAAAATATGAGTTTGAGGAATATTTGTGTTCGGGTTTGTTTTAGGTTAAGGATAAAAATGGAAGATTATACCAAAACTGTTAAGTATAGCCCACACAGTCTAGATGGCAGCTTACTAGGGGGACTAATTTGGAGTAACATGTAGGATTTATGGGACTAAATAGAAAATTCAAAGATTTGAGTGACTAATTAGAAATAAGAAAGATTTAAGGGACTGCTATCTAAAAAAAAACTTTTTTGTATTAGGTTAATGATCTGAGGAGTCTTATTGCTGGATTTTGATTTAGGGTGACGTGGAATCGATTGCATCGAAGAATCCCAAGGAGCTTAGCGGGCTTCTTGAACAGATTTCAGGATCTGACGAGCTTAAGAAAGATTATGAGGATCTGGAAGAGCAGAAGGCAAGAGCTGAAGAGAAATCAGCACTTGTTTATCAGGAGAAGAGGACTGTAGTGATGGAAAGGAAGCAGAAAAAAGCTCAGAAGGAAGAGGCAGAGAAGCATCTTCGGCTGCAAGAAGAACTGGTATTTAATCTTTCACACACTGGTGAATTCGCTTTTATACATTAATTTGCCATCTTCATTTGTTTGCTACTCATACCTCTGTATGCTTATTTGGAAAATCATGATTGTTTTGCCGAACATGACCAACTTTTGATGATCTCCGTACCAATCGGGCCCTTGGCCTTTATTAATGGGTTTGTCGCTATAATGTCGTATTTGGTTCTCTAGACCAAGGAATAAGCTGCATTACACATGGTACCTAGAGTTCATTTCTGCTGGTCTTAGCTGCACTAATAGTTTGTTTGTTTAGGTTGTGTATTTCTTTGGTCTAGTATGCAACTATATGTTTGCCTAGTATCCTGCATTTCTTTTGACACAAACTATCATGCTACATTTAGTGATCAGTATCTCTGTACCGTATACTGACAACTCTATTTACATAACAGCCCACATGCTATCATCTTTCCATCACATCACTAGTGTTACCATTTTTATCATTTAAAAATCTTCACACAAACTACTTGTGAAATATCAGAGGATTTCAAATCCACACATCTTGGCTCCTTCGACCTTTACCAATTCATTTGAAGAGCAATTACCAGTTCTTTCATTCTTTTGGATGGTGCAGTTGGTGAAATAGACCATATATGATGACTGACCTTAGTTTAAGGATGCAATTGTTGAAGCTCTTCAGTTCAGATCATTGTCTCTCTCTTCTATTATGTTGAAACCTACTGAAGCAAGAATCCTTATCCATGACATAAGCTAAAATGTCTTTCTTATATTTCATCAGTCATTCTTGTTTTAATTAATAATATCTTTTTTGTTCTTTTGCAGTATTATTAAATCTCCTATTTACTTGTGGCATCACAAAATTTCAACTAAGTCAGCTAGTGACGATAAAGTCCTCAATATGTACAAACATGCTATATTTTCGTCTGTTTTATCCTTGTCAGTTAGACTAGTATTTTTGTCTTCTATTAAGTGGGTTAGTGATTAACGTGCTAGTCTCCTAACTCAAAAGCATGTATTAGTCACATGATGTAGTTTTTCTCCTTATATTTATTTCTAATCGAGCTAATGGTGTCTTGCTGATTGAGATGCAATCTTGGTTAAGTTTACAGTCGATAACCTGTATCTAAAACTTATAGACTGGGAATATCTGTCATATGCTTCATGTTGCTTCGTCATTATCAATTTGGTTACATGTTTTAAGCTTCCTTAAATAGCTTAATGATCTGTGTGCAACTCTCTCACCTTGAAAGGATGTGCCTACCCAGGATGGCATTTTTTCCTCGAATTGTATACAAGGATTAGCTGTGTTAAACATTCATGTTGATTGAATTGCTATCTGGATTAAGTTTTTTGGTCAGGGGCCTGTATCTGAAACTTATAGACTCAGGGATCATTAAATTCAAAAGTTTAATGGTCATAAGATCCCAAACTGAATTAATCATATTATTGAAATGTCTCTGATTCAGGAATGTCTAATGAAATTATGGAAAAACTTGGTCTCAATCCTCGTTGACCAAGTCTAATATAAATTTGTAGATTTTTGACTTTAACTGATTGCTTTAAGGCTTGCATCTTCTAAAGGCTCAAGTAGGAAATTGTCTGGCAGATTCTATTTTCAACGGCATGCCAAAAATTAATATTGAAGTTTAGAGAAAGAATAGTTTTTCAGTAGTCAGCTTACTTACTGAAGTTAAATCAGGCATTGTATATCTATGTGAGGGTTTGGTGAAAGTTTTAAATGTGCTCTCTATTACAGCTGTAAAAGTTTGATATAGTCTTTACTTTAAAGCAGACAATAAAATATTACCTCAGTTTCAGCTGCTATAGGCCGACTTACTGTTGATGAGAGCACCATCAGTTGTATTAGCTATAGGATCACTTATCACTGATGAGAGAATTATCAGTTGCATTTGCGATAGGCTGACTTATCACTGATGCGAGAATCATCTGTGGCTTTCATGCTTTATCGTATTAACATATTCTATTATGTTTTCTGCAGAAATCTTTAAAGAAAGAACACTTTTTATGGCAACTGTTCCATATTGAGAAAGATACAGAAAAGCTAGTTGGTGAGCTTGAAGATGAAAAGCAAAAGTTAGATGATGTTCTCAAGGAATACGAGAAATATGGTTCTGAAGAATCTGCTAAAAAGAAAGAACAGGCTGGATATTTGAAGCAGATGTCCCGTTCTGAAGGCAACATAGCAAAGAAGAAAATTGAACTTGATAAGAAGGTATATTATTATACTGTCATCAATGTACTTACAGGCGTGTCTGGATTTCATGGGGGTAAGGGAACTTTTTCTTCTCTTTTTGTGTGTGTGTGTGTGTGTGTGGGGGGGGGGGGGGGGGGGGGGGTGGGTGCAATTTTTTTGTTGTTGGGGATGAAGTGAACTATAGGGAACTCTTCACCCCATGCCCCATGAAAGCTATCAAACGGGGTGAATGTCTTCCCTATCTTCCCTTCTCCCTTGTTCACCCCAATAAACAGAACCTACAGTTTGGAGCATCTTATTAACATGATGGAAAATTCTGTAGAAGGTTTCCTTGTACACCATCTTTCCTTTTGTTTTTGAAATGTGTTGATTGCTTTTACTTACAAATCTTGTCATTATATGATGTTTTCCATGTAAGTGACAGCAATGTATATTCTAGCACTGTATACATGCATATAAAATGCTGATTCCTTACAAAATAATTAGAGTTGAATATGACAATTTAAAAAAGAAGTGATTTATTGCAGTAAAAGATGATTGACAACACTGAATGTGAACAATTTCCCGCTTACCTTAACGTATCAGGTTTCCTAAGAATTCTAACCATATATCATTGATTCATTGCATTAGGAAAGAAAATCTCTTGAAACTTTTGTACTTTAACCAGTCTGCAATTCTCTGTTTTGTTTAGGTTCTGTATCAGAAATACATTAATTTTGTATATGCCGAGGACAAACCTTTTATTTATTTCTTTTGGACCTTATTCTTTATCATAGATTTTGCATGCAACATTTGTAGTCAAGTGTCACTTACAACTATTCTTTCCCGTTTTAATTTCACGTGCTTGAGCATAGAGAAAGGTGCAGTACTCTGCAAAAGGAAAAATGACAAATTAAATAAAAAACTATTAGAACTTAGATGACAATCAACAATTTCTGAAAATTTGGAAATGGACATTCAATTCTACATCAAACAGTCTATTACATCCTTTCTTCATGCTCCTTACTATCTCTAGCTCTCTGCACAATTTTACATCAAATCAGGGAGGTTCTGAGAAATTCAGTGATGGGTTAAGTGGATCATTGGACTGACAACACAGCTTTCCTTGATATAAAATGTGAAATTGGATAGGAAAGTATTATGTCACCATCTTTGACACAATGGTTTCTTTTATTTACAAGAAAAATAAAGCAAACAAGATTATATAAAAAGTAAAGTCATAGTAAAGGGTTCACTGCATCTTCCTTCCAGAAAACTATGGGATCATTTGTGCTGATGAGTGAGCCTTAATACAGTTCATGCCGTCAACACATTAATAATAATCCCCTCGCAGTTATCATATATGGCATAATCTTCAGTGTGTGATTTATAAACTTATTAAGCATTATTTATAGCACAATTTTTTCTTTAAAGGTGTTGATCGATTTGGTGACACAAGATCCTTGTGGCTATACATATACAGACTGGACGGTGGAATATTATCTGTTTTGAGATTCCAACAGTATAAGCTTCCTTCATTTAGTCGGCAATGAGTGTTTGTGCTTGTACTCGTTCTAGCTGATTACATGGAGATCCACATACTTCTGATGACCATGAGATCGTTAGATGTAGTACTTTTGAATCATTCAAGGGCGAGACTCGCCACTTTTAAATCCTTCAGTTGGCACTTAATTTTCTGTGCACCATGAAAAATTTATGTTTGTACTGCTTCTAGCTAATCGCCTCAAAAAGATATGAAAACTTTCAGTATGACCACAAAATTGATAAGCAGTCTGTTTCTGTACAGCTTGTCCAGCTGTGATGATGCAATCTTTCAACTGTCCTGATTGTCCTGATAACTCTCAGTAACAGCTCTTTTGTTTTGTGAATGGCTGTTCATATGTATTGCAGCATGGTACATAAAACGAGCAAATCTGGGATACATGGCATTGGCATGTGGGTTCATATATATTAACTCATTGTGCAATCAGAGGCAAACTCCCAGCACTTTACTTCTTAGTTCTTGCTAGACTTTTTAAGTTAAAGGCTTCCTTATGTGGGAAAGTTACTAGAGCTTTTACTAAAATCAATTTAAATCTTCTTCCCCAATGCTTCTCTACTGAAAATGCTTGGGCTGGCAATGGTTTGCTTACACCTCAAACAACGCAAGAACAGGGCTTCATGATCTCAAGAAGTTGATTTAGTTTAGGTTTAGTCATCTCATGGATCCAGCTCAGGAAGTAGTAGATACACGTCAAATTATTAAAATTTTAAGTTGGGCGTGTCTAGATGTGCCGAACACAGTACCATGGTGTGTCGAGTATTGGTGTTCGATGCATGTTGGGCATTGTTACAAGTGTCCATGCTTTGTATGCTAAAAACGGAGATCTAGAATATGTTGATTTTTTGATTGTCATCTCTTTCAAAATGAAGACTTATTGGGAGCCATCTTTCCTGACACATGCCGACATGGTTAGGTCACCAGGAAAATATTGAAATGTTTTTGTTTTTGCACTTTGAGTGGATTTTCATTGTAAGGTTTCAGTCCAAATCCTATCTGAGGTTCCCAAGTCCATTATCCATTTGAAAAACACGGACACAAAAAAAATTGTGCTTATCTACTTAGAACATCTTGGCATTCATCTTACACAGGATTTGCATGAAAGCTTAATTTTATTTTCTATACAATTTTGTTTTCAGCAACCAGAACTTCTTAAAGTTAAGGAAGAAATATCCCGTATTAATTCAAAAATTAAAAGTAGCAAGAAGGAGATGGATAAAAGGAAAGAAGAGCAAAGGAAGCATGCAAAAGTCGTGCAGAAGCTACAGAAGGATTTGCATGATGTTACTGAAGCTATGAATGAACTTAATGAGCAAGGTCATGATGGAGCTGGAAAACTTCAGTTAGCTGATGATCAACTTGAGGAATACCACAGAATGTAAGTGTTCTCTTTCAGGCTCCTTAACTGGTTACTGAACCAACTTAAGTTCTTTACCATGTACTCTTTCCTTCTTTATCTTTATTGTTTAGTTATCTGACATGTCTTTAGATTTCTTTTATAGAAGAAGGTTTTTATGACATCATACTATTTGCTTGGAACATATCTTTTGGTAGCATGTATCCTTTCCTATGCAGCTTTGCAGGCTGGAATTAATGTTATAGCAACAATAATAATATTCAGAATTATGCAGTATTTTTAATATGCTATTATTTGGTGCTGCAGCAAGGAAGATGCTGGGATGAAAACTGCAAAATTGAGAGACGAGAAAGAAGTGTATGACAGGCAGCTACATGCTGATGTAGAAGCTCACAAGAATTTGGAGGAGAATCTCCAACAATTGATTAATCGAGAACAAGAGTTGGCATCACAGGAAAGCCAAATGCAAGCAAGACTTGAGAAAACTCTCGAGGCAGTTGCAAAACATAAAGAAGAGCTTTCAGTAGCCACTGAGGAACTGAATGTTATTTCAGTTCAACGCCAATCATCTGGGTTAGTTGATAGTGCTTCCTCCAGTTCCACTGAAAAGAAAAATGCTTCTTCCAGTTACATTATCTAGCAGATCTAGCTTCTTACACTGATCGACCTTTTGATCAAATGTAATTGTTTCTATGAACAGGTCAAGGTATCATAGCTTAAAGCAGCAACTTGATGAAATAGATCTCAAGTTACGGGAGTTAAAAGCTGATAAGCATGAAAGTGAAAGAGATGCTCGACTTTCTGAAACTGTTCAGAGTCTTAAGCGGCTTTTCCCTGGAGTTCATGGGCGTATGACTGAACTCTGTAGGCCATTGCAGAAGAAGTTTAATCTTGCTGTTACTGTTGCTATGGGTAAATTTATGGATGCTGTTGTGGTTGAAGATGAAAATACAGGAAAAGAATGCATCAAGGTAATGTACACATGCTATGCGCATAATATGTGCACTCTAAAGGTCTTGTTTTGGTATTCGTCTTTTATTATTGAACGTTTGCTTCAGTTCATGTGTATGTGCATTCTAATGGTATTGATTGCATATGTTTTAGTTGATGTGGTAAGGTGAACTATTGCTGCAACAAAGGCCTTGTATCAGAACTGTTTTTGAAATCCCATCCATTTGGTTTCTTTATGTTTATTTCTTTTATCGTTTGGGATGCTAAACTATAACCAGGGAAATGCTTATCCTAGTTTATTTGTATATAGTTATAATCAGTCACCAGAACTTTGAAGTCTTGATGTAGTGGCAAAGACTATAAGATGGTACCCAGGTTTATTCCCACTAGGCTCACATTTAAAATAACGATTGGGTGGGGTGGGGTGGGGTGGGGGGGGCTGGTGTCCATATATTGAGTTTGTCTGACCTATGTTTTATTCATTATTACGTTTTATCCAATATTTCGATCGTAAATTATGAAGTTTATTGGTTTTTATGAACTTTACTTCCTTCTACATCTGTTACAGTCCACTATCTCCTCAGGCTTCCTTGAGTTCGAATAATAATTAGAATTAATTGCATTCCGGTACCCTGTAGTATGATGCAACTACATGGGTGACCTGAGGCCCTGGGTTCGATGCCCAGTGTGAAAGTGCTAACGGAGCTTAACTTTGCATATGAAAAAGAAAAAAAATGTCCTTTCATACAAATAAAATTTTCTCGCTATTGGGCAGGATTTAATCCAAGTTGCTTATGTGGAATATTGGGGACCATACAAATTTCAGCGATTAAAACAAGAACAAATTATTAAGAAGGGTTATTTGCATATATACCACTTAAATCATGGGTATTTGCAAATATACCCTCCAAATCTCAGTATTTGCAAAACTAGGCCTCAAATCATCAATTTTGGAAAAAAATTACCCTCCAAGCAATTAATCATTAACTTTGATAAGCTAATTTGTAATAGTAATGTACAAAATTATCACCAAAATAGTCAAATCTTTAGCACCAAGTTGATGATTTGTTGATTTAGGGATATTTTCCCCCAAGTTGATGGTTTGAGGGGTGTTTTGCTAATACAGGTTTTTTTTTTTTTTTTTTTTTTTTTTGGGGGGGGTTTTTTTAATTTTGGAAAAAAATTACCCTCCAAGCAATTAATCATTAACTTTGATAAGCTAATTTGTAATAGTAATGTACAAAATTATCACCAAAATAGTCAAATCTTTAGCACCAAGTTGATGATTTGTTGATTTAGGGATATTTTCCCCCAAGTTGATGGTTTGAGGGGTGTTTTGCTAATACAGGTTTTTTTTTTTTTTTTTTTTTTTTTTGGGGGGGTATTTTTACAAATAGCCACGATTTAAGGGGTATGTATGCAGTAGGCCTATCAAGAAACAAATCTTTTTATGAAAGGTCTTTTAGAAACCAGTCCCTCAAATCTTTAGTAACCCCATGTTGGTTCCTCAAATCTTTGAGATTGCTTAATATTTGAGGGACTAATATGGAATTATTGAAGATTTGCGGGACTAGTACCTAAATAATCCTTTTATAAATGATTTGAGGGACTAATGAGGAAATGTAAAGATTTTGGTGGAATAATTGAAGATTTGAGGGACTAAGTTCTTAATAAAATGATTTGAGGGACTAGTTAGGGCTACCTTGTAGATACTTGCAATTACATTATACCACAAGGTACCCATGTTGTGTTAGTTGACATGTTACTAAAAAAACAAATGGTGGGCTGTGGTGATACAAGTTAGTTATTCGTGTAGATACCCAACATCAGGGTCACCCGTGTAATTATGTTATACCACAGTGCCGGAATGTTATTAATCCTAGTAATTATGTTCAGTTACACCTTGTATCCAGGTGGAACATAATCATTAGCTTTTATTTCAAGACAATATTTACTAATGACCTTGATGGAAATCTTGCATTACTTCATGCTAATCTGTTAATAGAAGTAGAACTGCTTTATATAATTATTGTTTGTCTTTGTGTACACTTATCACTTGCTTTATAGATATATGTATTTAATTCTTCATAAATATATCATTTACTATTCAATCACCATGTAGGCATAATTTTTGTTTGAATGCAGTATTTGAAGGAACAACGTCTGCCTCCTCAGACTTTTATCCCTCTACAATCAGTACGTGTGAAGCAAATACATGAAAAATCACGCGCTTTGGGTGGGACAGCCCGGTTGGTCTTTGATGTAATTCAATATCCTTTTCTGACTGCATTAACATAGGTTCATTTATTGGATGGACAAGTTAGACGAGCATACATGTCTTTGAACTGTATGTGCATGTGTATACACGCTATTCCAGTTAGCTGATGTCTCGGCATCTGTCTTTGTTATTGTCTCATCATTGTATTTTCCCGTCAAAATTGGTCCACTATGGAGCATAACTGTGATTAGGCATGTTAAATTAAAGATTATAAATAGAACTGTTGCTTGTTTTTAACCTGACATTTTGTCTTTTATTTGAAAAAAAACCCACTGAGGATATTATATACAAATTGAGGGACGGGGGTGACCTTTCAAAAATATGATAGGTCAGGTGGGATAGTAGGAATATATGCCTTATTGATCACAAGCTAAACTCATGAAGTCGTGCACCCAAAATTAGTATTGATAGATAATGAAGTAGTGAGGCTGAAACGATTTATCGCTAGGGGTTGCATTCATAATTCGACTCCCAGGAATATAGACCAAAGTTGAAAGCTAAAATTTTCAAGCTCCTGCTTCCTCTATTATAATAGTGGGCTCTGACATTATTAAAATTTACCTTATTGATCACATAGATTAAGCTCCCTCTGTCTCATATCTTGTTTGTCACCAACCAATTGCAGTCAGTACCGTGACATTCTATATTTCTCAGGGCTAGCAATATCTTCAATGTGAAACTTGAAATAGAACTAAAGAACATTACTACTTTGTAAGTAGGAATTCCAGAATTGAAATGAGCCTCTTCACTCTTCAATCTGATTATTCTGACTCATTCGACATAGTTATATGAACTTGCCATACAGGGGACTAGGAGCAGGTTGGCATGAATGTAGTGCATGCTATGTGAACACGTTGTACACAGACCTATGGATTAGTTTATGAAATGCATGAAAAGTACAATACAGATAATATATTCTAGCTTTTCTGACACACTTAAAGCGAGTTAGGCACATTTTACTCTGTACCTTGTCAACTTAACAATTTCACATTTGACCGGTCCTTGGAGAAGGCTATCTTGTATGCTGTTGGTAATACATTGGTCTGTGATGATATTAAAGAAGCTAAGGCACTTAGCTGGAGCGGGGAGAGGTACAAAGGTAAAAGTTTACGCTTTGTTACATATCCCTTTTATGTATATATTGCTTTCCATTGTCAATAATATGATAATGGTTCTCCAGTTGTCACTCTTGATGGGATTCTACTGACAAAATCTGGAACAATGACTGGCGGGCTGAGTGGTGGAATGGAAGCGAGGTCTAATAAGTGGGATAATAGTAGAATTGAAGGTTCATATACTCTGTTATGAATATATGCATGCTAAATACCTTCTGTCTGTCAAACTTTAGTTTATGCCGTTGTCTTTATATTTAACAGCTCTGAAGAAGAAAAGAAATAAACTTGAATCGGATATGGAACAGCTTGGGTCAGTCAGGGAATTACAGATGAAAGAATCTGAAGCAACAGAAAAGAAAACTGGACTTGAAAGGAAGATTCATTATTTGAATATTGAAGAGGTAATTCAGATCAAGTTTTGCACATTTTTAGACAACATGTTTAAAAAGAGGGCATTTTATGGAATGTTTTCTCACAATTATTTGTTTATACGGATTTTCCGTCTGAGACATCTTTTTTTTCTTCTTCTCTGACACGTGCTCTAGTAGCTCTACAACCTGTCTTCGTTGACTTTCTTTGTTTGTGTTTCCTGTCCATAGGTCTTCTTTTCATTTATGGGTGTCATTATTGGTGTTTGCATGCAAACCAACTCAACCCCCCTCCCCCAAACACGCGCGTGCGCACACACAAAAAGAAAAAAGAAAAAAGGACAAGGAAAAATAGAAAAAAAGAAAAGAAAAGAAAAAGAGAACTGGCTGTTACCAGGGCCTCACATGTGTGTGGGCATAGGTATCCATCTGCATGAATGTGTGTGTTTTCTAGCTATTTGCCTAACTTATATACTAGAGCGCTGAAGGGGATGAAGCCACCTAAAAAAATCTCACATAACGAAGGCTTTGAATTTTTTTTTTAATTCTGTGTTGGTTTTATACTATAGATCACATCTCATGTATGTTCTCTTTGGTTTCATTT